TCATCAAAGCCACCAGTTGCAATTTACACGCCATCCGTCAGACAATCTGCGAGTTAGACGGCACAAAAATCTCCAACCTGCAGAAGTGATTGGAGCGCTGGGCAGAGCACATTGCTCTTCAATTTAACTACTCAGCACGTTTCACTGTGACACCTACATCTCCATCGGATGTTGGTTGGCCTGTCCCCAGTGACCCTCCTGCCGAAGTAGATATGCGAACCGCAATCCGAGCCTTCAAACGTCATAAAGCTCCTGACCCTGACAGCCTTCCTCCGGCTCTTTTCAAAGATGGCGGGGATGTACTAGTCAACGAATCGCTCTCGCTTTGCACAAAGATTTGGACTGATGAGAAAATCCCCCACTCATGGGGAGACTCAATCGTTGCCCCACTTCACAAGAAAGTCCCCCGCGAAGATTGCGTTAATTACCACAGAATCTCGCTGATCACAGTTGCTACCTAGATTTTGGGTCCATCTTACTTAGCTGGGTTTCCTACATCAAAGAGTTTTCCCGAGAAAAACGAGCCGGTTTTCGCCCAGACCGAAGTTGCATTGACCAAAGCTTCACGCTCCGACAAATTCTCGAGCTCGGCCACGTCCACTGTCAACCAACAATCGCAGTGTTCCTGGACATCCGCGCAGCATTCGATTCAGTAGACAGAGTTGATTTGTGGAATTGTCTACTAAAGAAGGGTATGCCTGACAAGTTTGTCGCCAATCTGAGAGAACTGTACAGTTCCACGTCGGACAAAATTAGGGCTTCCGGCAGACTTTCCTCTTCGTTTGTACGAGGATGCTAAGAAATGTGAAGCATGAGTTCTGTTACAAAAATCAAATTACCTGTCACATTCTTAAAAAAGAAAAATGGTCCTATAATTTCTCGCCCTGTCAACCCAGCCCATGCGATGAGCAGTGCACCATGTTGCATACGCGAAGCGATGCATTGTCGTGGGTTATTGGTAGCCCAAACATGCCGCTTACCTGCGCCATGCAGACGGAAAAGTGCCATATACGTAAACATGGTTGAGTGCGCGCCCATGATATCCAGATACCATAGGGAAAATTCCATACTGTTCTCACAATCCCATGACGTCAGAACTTGAACCTGCAGTGGGCGATACCTTCGGAATCCACAGCTGCAAGCCGAAGTAAGTGAAACTGAGCATCGTCAACGAATGTTGCGGGATACCGGTGGACACTTCGCAGAAAGTGCTAGTCGATAGCTTCGGGTGTATACTGCTCTTCAAGCGAAATGACGGTGGTCATTTTGAACATATACTCCGTTGATTTTTGTGCTCTGGAAACATACTTCATGCAAATATACGTATAATGCATAACGACTGATTTCATTGGCACATTGTTACGATGGTTAATGGTGCGAATACTTCGCCGGGGTTGAATGCACGCAACGGGAAAACAGAACAAGACGGGTACGTGAGAAACGCACGATCGCTCAAATGCCCGACAGGATGCAGTCGTCGCTGTTGATGTTTACTGTAAAGTGGACGGCGGTGGACGAAACCGTTGAAGTTCAGTAGGCTGCGTTATGCGCTTCTTGCAAGACGGAGCCACGTACTTACGTTGCCCATATGATGTTAATCTCGTATTTGCCAAGTAACTCAATTATGATTACCGCCATGGTTCGTCAATCGTAAGGGAACTGTCGCTGTCACCGACTATCGTTGGTTATTTCGGCATTTCGCTTCAGCCGTTATAAGTTCAATATGGCGCACCTGCCCATTATGCACAAACGGTGCGGCATTATCTTAAAGTGTTCGATCACCGGTGGATCGGTCGCAGAGGTCCAAAGGATTGGCCTGCCCGGTCACCAGATTTGAACCCCTTAAATTTCTTCCTATGGGGTTATTTGAAAAGAGTTTACAAGAAAACACCTATTTCACTGGGACAACTGAAAGACAGTATTGTCCACGAATGTCGCGCCAATAACACGGAAACTTTGAGAACAGTTATAGCCTATTGTCTTAGGTGATTACCGCAGTGCAAGCAGAACGCAGGCGGGCACGTTGAGCATCTTCGTCGTTGGCGGACATATCACCGTTCTGTGTTTATGTTAATATACGTAATCGCCGTTATCACTGATTTCTGGACCACATTGATGTACGAGCAAATGGTGCCAAAGGCGCGTCGAACCAGAATGCAATCCAAGAGCAAACCTGATTCGACAGTGCATAGACTGACCATTTCCATGCAACTTGGTTCACGATGGTAATACTTGTTTTTCACGATCATGCCTAAGGAGTACGGGGAGGATGTGAACGAGATGTTGACGTGAGAATAGGCTACGCGGTTTCGTATTTGTATCCTGTGCATCGGCGCACAGGCTCTGGAGTGGGATGAGTGCTTCCAAACAATAACATAACGGTCACACAAAGGGGAAAAAAAGATGGCCCAACAACATTACAATAAGAATACAGACCGTGAAGGCGCGGCTTATCGGTCCTTTTGAATCTGATAGTTGGAATTTGTAGCATAATGTGTCAGAAGAGTTAGCAGAGTATGCGTGAGGACCCACATGAGCGTGCTGTGCTCCCACGATTGGTCGTTCATTTTTTCGAGTCAATAAGCTTCGCGCTTTGTGTAATACGTGATTCTCAGTATCCGCGAGGATTAGATATTGCCTAGAAATGCAGCTACTCAGTTCCGTGCTAATGGAATATTGGCTCATCAGTGAATAGGTTGGAATAAACGCTCATGGTCCCGCCTGAAACAAATTGGGCAGAGTAATCACACTTGTTCCCTGCAAAACCGATCAAGACTGCGACGCAAGAATAGGCTATCCAGCAGCGAGTAGCCTTTAGGCGGCAGAGCTTTCCAAGACTTTTTTCACAAAACGTCACATTTCATCTTTGCAAGACCTAATTGTAAGGAAGGCCTATTTTTCTAAGGTAGGTTGTTGGAAGGCAACGTTTAGTCTACAAGAGCGTTTTTTTTAAACAACGTTATGAGAAGACGAAAGCTGGCAGATGTTGACATTTCGTATTGTCTCGTCAGTGTCAATACAATAACAGGAAAATATATATAACAACAGCTAGGGTGTAACCGTTGTCAATAATCCTTTTGTCATTAGCTGGGATAACACCTATTGCACACTCCTTGCTCATGCCAGTTACGCCTGTCTAAGCGCAACCACAATTCTACCGCAGTAGCCCGGTAATAAGCTACTACTGTTTCGACTTTGTACGCCTATCTCCGGTCCAACCGTATGTGTCGACCGGTGAACTTGTCCTGTGGCGTGCCGTAGATTGACTCCAACACAACCATCCGCGCCTGATCCAGCGTTTTCACGATGGACGACAGTGGAAAGTACACATGTACCCACATGCATGCATACGGTCGATCTACACCCATGGGACCGAGCGAGACAGTTTGAGATCGATCAAGATCTACTATTGGACAGTTGGCAATTTAGTGAGCTCTACCACACGGTCCATGAGCTCATGTTTCTCCCTCCGCGCATTTATGAGATCTTCGTCCAGACGTGGAGATCTATCGAGAATCTACATCGATGAGGGCTCAAAGTTCCACGGAGCTGCAGTCGAGCACAAAAATCTGGTTAGTTACTGTAACCACGACCAAGAAAAACGTGCAAACCGATCAGCGAGTTTTCAACCCTTCCATACAAGTTACTTCGCCGGCGCATAGGTACGCATGATGCGATCAATCAGAAACATAGTTCAGTCGATTGTTGGGGACCAACTCAACATCAACAAAATGTTCCTCAGGGCGATGACTAAAATTAAAAGAACGCTTCATCGATGATCATAAGTTCAAAATCCTAGACAAAAGCTGAATAGGTAGCGTTGTGCTCGTGTTGAAAGCATAGAACCCAGCGCCACGAAAGAATAAGCAGACGGAGAAGACAATAGCGATGTCCGCCATCTGAATTCTATATGAAGTGAATCAGATATTATTGTTCGTTAATGTGACCTAGACGAAAGTGACATGAGGAGATATAGTAAGAGATGTATAGTTCTGATCTCTGTTACACGCAACTCAAAGGACACGTGGCCAAATGATACTGTCGAAAGCATCAAGAAAGGAACAGATGCTTTCGTGCAGAAAAATTTTTGGGGTACCCAAAAAACCCTGTGAGAGAACGTAAGACAACTGTGCTTTTTGGAGGGGATAAGCTAGAATGAAAACGCTGAACAGGAGCAGTGAGTCATTGGATGAGCGTGGATTACAAATTCGCGAACTGCAAAATGGCAATATTTATCATTCCTTTCATGTTTATCAGTATAGAGACATTTCCTACTTGCACAATGAGTTATAATTTGTGCATAACCATCCACTAGATAAAACACTAACATGACCTATGTTTACTGCACTACTGTGAGTAAATGAGGCATCGCGCTTATGAATCATAATCATCTACTTACACCGTAGATGAGTTGTCTGCTTACGTTTACCGCTGATCCGGAGTACAGACCAGTGGAAATGTTGAGTAACATTTTAACAACATTTATAAACCCAGTCGTTATTCCTGTACATTTAAAATACTGTTACAGAAGCACGTCTTTTGATTGCCACCACATGAAGTTTTGCTCATTTTGCTTGCGGAATCAAGTCGCGCGTGAGGTTAGTCCTACGGAACGCACCGTTCCATCCTGTGCCAACTAGAGTGCTCACCTCAATATATTGGAACATATTTGGAACCGATCGGGAAGTCATCATTTCAGAAAACTTGGTAAACGACCGGTTAATGTATTTATGGTGATACACAATGTTTCGCATTTGACACAAATGCTTCATCAGGCCTGATGAAGCATTTGTGTCAAATGCGAAACATTGTGTATCACCATAAATACATTAACCGGTCGTTTACCAAGTTTTCTGAAAAGAGTGCTCACCTAATTCACTAATAATGACCGATGACGGTGAATGATTGAGGCATCTGATTCCTGTGTTCATCGCCAGGCATTCAGTACTCGCACAATTTGGTAAGGATGATAGAAAAGGCATTTGAAACGTTGCGCATACCTTTGAGCATGCTGTCGGTAGATTGACGAAGTAGATATTTCAGATCGTGTGTCACGTCGGGAAGAGCAAAATCTCCTGGAGAAAGACGAATAATGGCAGCATAAAAAAGAATAAATGTATGACATGACGAAATGGATGGCACCAGTTATAAATATGTGATTGTGAAGCTCATTGTGGGATGTCAATGAAGTGGACATACTAGTAATGAAAAGAAGCTGGGACAAAAAACGATGAAATACCTAATAAATTCCTAAAATTCTCCACACAACCAGCTTAAGAAAGCCAGGACACGAACAGAGACATAGTAACCAGCTTAAAAATCCATTTTAAAGCGCAGCTACAATGAGCAAAAGCAGCCAGAGCCGTATTTCGAGACATGTATACATTTAAAATGGGTAGATACAGAGTTACTGACAAAAGAATTATCAATGAAGATGAGTTTCGCAAGTTACAGCAACAATCGGTAGATGAATGGACATTGCTCATGGACGGGCGGAAGGTCTTTCGCTGGACGGTGAGACACAAGATACGACTTAGATCTACCGCTAACTTCTGCAGCTTCAGGGTACAAAGGATTTCAAAGAACTGTTTACTAAGTCTTGGAACAACCATAGTCAAATAGGAAAAGAAAAGGCGCTGAAGGCCATGATCAGGCACACCTAGGACTGGCAGATAAAATATTAAAAATGACCTTTTAAATGGAAGTAACTAAGAAATTGCGAGAAAGGTAAAAATATATGACATACAGTAATTCCCTTTTAAAGAGAAGTTTAACATACTCCTTGAGTGATATAAATAAATAAAAATATGACATAGCCAGATAGCTCATGGCCCGCTCAGGCATGTAGTGGAAAGATCGTGACAGCTCATCGACCCGCTGCTGCTCTAGTTCTGCCGCGAACACATGTCCTGGAAGTCTTCCCGTAGTCCCCGCGGGGTGGGAGTTGGGCTACACTCTCATTTTGGATAAGATGCAGGATATATACGCTTGTGGCTGGCTCGCCGAACAAACTCCTCGTTGTGCCAGCTGGCCAGTTCGGGGATTTCCCGTTTCAGGACGTGGTGGATTTTCGCATGGTAAGTGTTCTCCCTATAAAATGCCAAAAATATCCGTCTAACAACACTGTGACGTTGCGGATGTGACTCGACACTAAAGAAAGTCACTGCTCCTTGTCTCCTTTAGAGACATCGTGCGCTGGCAAGCAATCTGAGCATCAAAGCTTGTCTCTTACTTCGGGAGTGTTGGATCACTGGCATGACATATCATCATCCGAAAGCCGTATGAACTGAGTATCGTCACCGGCTCCCAACAGATGCGAACCCCTCATCTCGCACTGCTGCCCTGTGGGTTAGGCCCTTTGGCCAAAGGCTCAGGGCGGTGCTCCTCTAAGACAACCTAACTACCTCGGCCTAGGAAACCGGGTAGTATCTCGCCTACTGACGAACCATGGATTTACAACTACAACCATTCACACGCTCTCTTGCTGCTACAATGTTATTCACTCATGCTACTATGCCAACTTCACAAGAACACGCCACCATTTTACCTACCCTTCCCTTGTACCATCCAGACCCAATTTTACCTGATTCCTTTATGGTGATAAACCCCACCTACACCGGTGAACCTGTTCCCGTGACATCTGCCAACTCAACCACACAGTGGTCAACAGAGAGCTGCAAGTCCCGAGGCCTCCCAGTTTCGCTCCTGCGACGCGGAACGCAGTTCAAACTTGCAGCCTTCAAGGTACGCATATTACTGCAAATCTGTCAGCAAGCTGGACTTGAACGCACGTTAGAGACCCTCGGAATTGATTTCTGTTGCCTGAGTGAAACGCGACTCCAGGACTCTAACTCGGTCTACCAACTGGCGTCACTGCTCCACCCACGCACCCGCTTCCATCTCCGTTTCTCTGGTGACGCCAAGTCTGCCGCATCTGGGCAAGCTGATGTTGGAATCGTCCGCAGCGCTAGAGCCAAAACTGCTCAGGTGATTGGGTCGCTGGGCACAGCATTTTGTTCTTCAATTCAACCACCCAACCAGGCCCTCTGTGACATCTCTAGCCCCAACGGATGATGTGTGGCCTGTCTTAACATGCCACCCAACTGAAGCAGTGATCCAAGATGCAATCCAATCATTGAAACGCCACAAGGCTCTTGGTCTAGACAGCCTATCACCGGCTCTATTGAAAGATGGCGAGAATGTACTTGTCAGCGAAAACTTATCGCTGTTCACGAAAGTTTGGACTGAAGAGAAGGTTCCGAACTAACGGGGAGAATCGGTCATTGTTCCGATTGCTGTAACTATCGGGGAAACTCCTTAATCTCTGTCGCATCCAAAATGTTCGTGTCAGTCCTACTTCGCAGGCTTCCAACAAGTATAAATGAGCTTTCCCGAAAAGAACAAACCGGATTTTGTCCAGGCCGCGGCTGCATCGACCAAATCTCCATGCTCCGCCAACTTCTTGAACTCCGTCACATCTACCGGCGGAAAACAATCGTAGTATTCTTAAACATCCGAACGGCAATTGATTCAGTAGATAGATCTGCGTTGTGGAACTGTTTACTGAAGAAAGGTGTGCCCGACAAGTCTGTAACCATCCTGAAAGAACTTTACAGTCACACTTCGGGAAAAGTATGGGCTCACGGAACACTCTCTTCTTCGTTTGCTGTGACCAGCGATGTTCGCTAAGGTTGCGCTATTTCACCTTTCCTCTTCAATTTTGCCATCGAAGATGTCGTCCAAAGAGCACTGGAAGGTGTCCAGAACTGCGGTGTTGAGTTCCTCCCTGGAGCCAGAGTCACGCACTTGGACTATCCCGATGATATCACCTTGCTGGGGGACGACCCACAAACCGTCCAGAGTGCTTTGGACCGCTTAGCGATGCAGGAGTCTAAGTACGGCTTATGTTTCATTCTGGGAAAAGGAAAAACGCTGCTCCAGAACTGACAGATGCCCGAACCCGCGCCCACCATTGCTGCACACACACGCACACACACACACACATGGTTGGCGGCATCCGGTTTCGGATTTGCCTGTCACTGTGGCAAGCCACAGGACGCCTGCGCCTACAGAGGGACCATGGATGGCTTGCGCTGCACCACCCACAGCTCCAACCACATACCCCATATCCAGTGTAAACCCGAAGGAATAAGACCGGGAGGCATGTGGATGGGAACCACGTTTCATCAACGGAGCCGGCCCACACTCCTTCACAGCCAAACACAAGCACACTGTATTTGGGAATCAACCGCACACAAGGCGGTGGCTGGACCGTAGTCCGCTCCACACTGACTGCATGGAACCACTCTTTGATCCTAACACGGCCACAAGGACCGTGCACCCTGTCCCCTCCAGCAACGACCAACTGTCTCCTGGAGCCAGTATGAACGATGTAGTGGGTAATAGACAGGTAGGCACCTTGTCAACATACACATCAAGCGCAACCACACCGGGGATATCAAACAACAGCCATTCACTTGAAACGACAAGCTGAAATAAAATAAATCCAACAATGCATACAGATACGGTGGCATAACTCTTCGCTAATTTACCATATGAAGTAACTGCGTTAACAACAAATCCGTGATAAGTAAGAAATGTCCACAAGTTACTTAAAAATGCTACAAAACGCAACAAAATTACCGAAGATAAGCACAATTAGTGTATGCAACGTGGCCAGTTAATAGAACATTATTCAGGGAGGCAGAACAACCCAAATAAAGCGGAATGAAATGTATCCAGCTTAAAAAGACCTAGTTTAAGTGTAAGTTGGTTTAGCCCAACTGCGGTGAAGAAGCATCAAGAATGCAACATCAGCCTCAGCATACATACATACATGGTTGGCGGCATCCGGTTTCGGATTTGCCTGTCACTGTGGCCAGCCACAGGACGCCTGCGCCTACAGATGGACCATGGGTGGCTTGCGCTGCACCACCCACAGCTCCAACCACACACCCCATATCCAGTGTAAACCCGAAGGAATAAGACCGGGATGCATGCGGATGGGAACCACGTTTCATCAACGGAGCCGGCCCACACTCCTTCACAGGCAAACACAAGCACGCTGTATTTAGGGAATCAAGCGCACACAAGGCGGTGGCTGGACCGTAGTCCGCTCCACACTGACTGCATGGAACCACTCTTCGAGCCTAACACGGCCACAAGGACCGTGCACCCCGTCCCCTCCAGCAACGACCAACTGTCTCCTGGAGCCAGTATGGACGACGTAGTGGGTAATAGACAGGTAGGCACCTTGTCAACATGCACATCAAGCGCAGCCACACCGGGGATTTCAAACAACAGCCAATCACTTGAGAGAGAGAGAAAGAAAAAGAGAAAAACTCGATTAATGCATAAGGAAACGGTGACATAAACCTTAATTAAATAGCATACGTAATAAGTTGTTTACAAACAAATCCTAGCTAAGTGCACGAGGTCAGGAAGTATAGTTCATGGAATGCTACGAACACAAAAATGTTATGGAAATCGAATACAATTGGCTGAAGCGATGTGTGCAAGTTAATGGAATAAAGTACAGGGAGATATTTATATGAGAAAGAAAAGCCTTAAGGTAAAAACTGTAAACCCACCACCTGAAATAAAGAGACTTAGCATGCAAGCACGCGGTTAGTAAATCGAATTCAGCGTGCCTACAAACGCTGCGCCGGCTCGTCGTAATTCTCTGCAGCACCCGTCGTCGCTTCTGTAGTGGCCCCAAATGGCACAGCTCATGGCCCACTAGACATTTATATGAGAAAGAAAAGCATTAGGAGAGAACCGAAAACCCACCACCTGAAATAAAGAGACTTAGCATGCAAGCATGCGGTTAGTAAATCGAATTCAGCGTGCCTACAAACGCTGCGCCGGTGCTGCCTACGTTCACTGCGGGACCCGTCGTCGCTTCGGCAGTGGTCCCGAGTGACCTCTCTCATGGCTCACTAGGCCTGCCTGACTAAGGCACTCGCGACCGCATGTTCTACAGCACAATGCGCTCGATGTCGATGGAGTACAACCCATCGGTGCTTGCCGCTTCCGCAACTGCCGCTTCTTCTCTGCATGCATGAGGGATTTCTCC